CGGGGCAGCCCCCGCCCGGCGCCCGGAAGCGCTCGGCCACCTGGTCTTTCCGTAAGAAAGAAAAGAGAGAAAGTCCGGCCGTTCCCGGGGCCTTGGTCTGTAGATGTATTCAGCCAATATTTATTAGAGACCTACTGTGCGCCGGCCGGGGTGCAGGGCACTCAGAGAGCCTGCAGATGGGGGGCGGTGCGGAAAACAACTCTTAAGTCTTTGCCCTACGGATATTCACACCGGGGAGAGGAAGGGCGCAAGGGCAATAAACATGCAAGTCCAGAGACCTCCCGTAGAGCCCCAGATCTGTTCAGAAGTGAGAGAGAGCCTATGGCTGGGGAAGGAAAGTGCTAGCGGATTTCTCTTAGCCTCGCGCCTTTCGCCTTTCTCCAGGAGGCTCCCCTGTGCTTGCAGCCCGGTTCTGTCCCTGGTAGGCAGGCAGGAGGGCAGAGGGCCGGAGGAGAGGGAAGAGCGTGTCATCCCCCACCCCCCAGCGCACTCGGCCAGGGCTACAGCTGTCCGGGGCCCTCCCGTACAGCTACCCTCCTGGGCAACCCGGAAGGTGGCCGTCTTCTCTTGGCCCATCCTACCCCAGGAGGGGGATGGGAAAAGCCACCCCATCCCATCTGGTCTCCAGACCAAGTCTGCTCCTTCCTGGGCCACCTCCTGAGCTGCCTTGTGATTTGCCTAAGAACACAGCTGATGATCAGGGAAGGCTTTCCTGAGATGGAACCACGAGGTGACATAAACGGCAGCGATGTTAAGGGAACAACAAAGGGGGAAGCACTAGTGTCCAGGCCGGGAGGTAGGAATCGCCTGTGGGGTGGAGAAATCCACAGAGGACCTGGCTGCTGCAGTGTGGTGAGGAAAGAAGAGGGGCTGGATAGTAGGGGACAAGCAGGCTGCAGCCACACTGGGGGCTGCAGGCTCCCTGCAGTGTAGACTTGTTGCATGGATATCCACTAAGGACCTCTAGCGAGCTCTGGGCTAACTGGAAGCAACGCATTCTCAGGATTCACCTCCTGAGAATGACTATGGGCAAGAGGTGTCTAAAGGTTGCAAAAGGCCCACGGGTCCTGAGCAGCTAAATCTCTGCTCCTGTTCAGAGTTTAGTCGTGGTCCAGTTTGCTGCTCCAGTGGGAGGACAGGACTGAAATTGCAGCTTTACCTGCTTGGGAGTCAGATAGGCTTTAGCATATTTACCTTGAAAATGGACCGACCCAATCCTTCTTCCAGCCCTGAAAGATAGGACTCTTCCCCCACCCGCAAGAAGCCAAGGGACTGCAGAGCTGAGGCAGCTGGCGGGAGGGAAGCTGGTATTCAGCCCAGATAACCTGGCACCGGTCTGCTCCTAACCACACACCCAGCTGCCTTGCCAGTCCTGTCCGGGCTTTGCCTCTTATAATTTATGCCTCAGTTTCTTCATCTCCAATGAGTTGAAATGGCCACGCGGCAGATGCCTGTGAGAAGCAGACACAAGGTGAAAGGACATGGTGCTCAGTGCCAGCCAGGTGACCACCCCTTCCACCCTGCCAACCAAAGAGACCAGAGGAGCTGTAGACAAAGAAGAGACAAAGAAGGCAAGCGGAAGGGAAGGGCTAATGAAACCCAAGTCCAAAGATGACTTCGCTTTCATAAGGAAACACAGTGAAGTAAATTCATTACTGGACATGACTCCAGAGTGCCGGGCGAGACGGCACACACCTGTAATCCCAGCACTAGGGAGGCTGAGGCAGGAGGATTGAGGAGAGTTCAGCGCCAGCCTGGGTGACATAAGCAAGTTCAAGGCCAGCCTAAACTGCATAGTGAGACCCTGTCTCAACCTCCCATAAAACGACTCCAGTACACTGACATGAGCTGCCACACCAAGTGGGTAGGAGGGGAAGCTGACTCCTGAAAATCACTGACACCATTAAGTCTACTGCACCTTTCAAAGATCTGGGATTGAAATTGGCACTCAAACCAAAACATTTTTTTTTTGCTTTCAATAAAAATATTTCATATCATTTAAGATTTGTAAGCATAAATAATATCTGTGTCTCTTGAACTCTGTTATCAATAATAAATTGATGTATATCATTAGATTTAAAGACCTTCAAAGCAGCCCGGGTTTGGTGGTACACACCCATAATCCCAGCACTTGGAAGGATGAGGCAGAAGGGTCGTTGCAAGTTCGAGACCAACCTGGGCTACAAAGTGAGCTCAAGGCCAGCCTGAACTGCATAGTGAGACCCTGTCTCAAAAAGAAAAAAAAGATCTTCAAACTTAGCACCACTACCAATATTTACAAGTCATCTTAAGCACCTACTATGTATAATCTACTGTGCCAGCATCAGAGGAATCCACAAAGGGACATAGACTTTGCCATTTAGGAGATAGCAATGTCATTATGAAATGACACTTTCGTTTCCATATGATATAGTTCTTCCAACTAAAAAGTAATTGGAGGAAATTTGGAAAATATAGTAAAGAAAACAAATCTAGACAAAAATCTCACAGTGGAGAGATCACTGCTATTTTGTAGGATATGAAGTAACATTTTGACTTTAAAAATAGCCATAAGGCATGTACTATACAATACATTCAATGATTGATTCGGATCCTGTATCAAAACAGCATGGGTTAGTCTCAGCTATTCAGGAGGCTGAGGCAGGAAGATTGCTTAAATTCAGTGATTTAAGGCCAGCCTGGGCAACAAAGCAACACTCCACCTCAAAGAAAAAGTAAGAGAAAAACAAAGCATGGGTTGGTTGTTCTGTTGCTTTGTAAGGACTTTATTGAGATATAATCCATATACCATACAACCCACCTACTTAAAGTATGTAATTCTAGGGTAACCATAGTTAACAATAATGTATATTTCAAAATGGCTAGAAGAGGGAAGTTTTAATGTTCTCATTACAAAGAAATGATAAATGTCTGAGATGACAGATATGCTAATTAACCCTACCTGATAATCAGATAATGTATGCATACATTGAGACATCGCAATATGTCCCACAAAAATGAAAATTATTATGTCAATTACAAATAAAATACAGTTCAATGGTTTTAAGTGTATCCAGAGTTTTGCAAACATTATCCCAATTGATTTTAGAGCATTTTTAATGCTCTAAAAAGAAACCCCAAATTAGCAGTCACTCCTCTGCTCCCCTGAGCCCTGGCAAACATTAACATATTTTCTGGGCAGGGAATGGTGATGCATGTCTGTAACCCCAGGACTTTAGGAGGCTGAAGCAGAAGAGTAATGGGTTCTAGTCCCACCTGGGTGGGAATGTAGCTAAGTGTGAAGACGTAGGTTCAATCCCCAGCACCACAAGTGAGTGGAAAAAATGTGTGTGTGTGTGTGTGTGTGTGTGTGTGTATTCCTTCTCCATAAATTTTCCTATTCTGAACACTTTACATAAACGGAATCATAGGCTAGGGACATAGGTCAGTGGCAGAGCATATGCTTAGATGCCCAAGGCTCTGAGCAAATCCCCAGCATAAATAAATAAGTGAATGAATAAACAAATAAATGGAATCATAATATATGTGGTCCTTTGTACATGGCTTCGTTCTCTTAGCTTGATGTTTTTAATGTTCATCCATGCAGCACTGCAGCAAGTATTAATACTTTTTCCCTGAGAGACAGGGTCTTACTATCTTGCCTGCCTGGCCCCGAACTCCTGGGCTTAAGTGATCCTCCTGCATCAACCTCCCAAATAGCTGGGACTAGAAGGGCACACTAAGTAGCAGGGACCACACCTGACACTTCATTTCTTTTAATGGCAAATAATGTGCTGCTATACTGCTACATACTCCAATAGCCACTCACCAGTTGGACATTTGGGTTGTCTAAATTTTGGGATATTTTGAATAATCCCACTCTTTAGAGCATTTACATACATGTTTTTGTGTGAATATGTGTTTTCATTTCTCTTAAGTATGTGCCAAAGAGTGGCATTGCTGGGTTGAATGATGTCTATGTTTAGCCTTTGACAAACTACCAGACCCATTTTTCTCAGCAGCTGCACCATTTTATATTCCCACTGCAGTGTGTGAGGTTTCCAGTGTCTCCACATTCCTGCCAACATTTGTTATTCTCCAAATTTTCGTCACAGTTATCAAAGTATCTATGAAACAGTATCTGAGTGTGGGTTTTAATTTACATTTCCCTGATGGCTAATGATACTGAGCATCTTTCATGCACATGTTGACCATTTGCACATCTTCTTGGAAGGAATATCTATTCAAATCCCTTCCCATTTTTAACTGAGTTATTTTTCATTTTTGTTGAGCTATAAGAGTTCTCTACATAGTCTAGATATATGACCTTTCTTAGATACATGACATAAAATGTTTTTCTCCCATTCTGTGTGTTGACTTTTTTACTTTCTTGGTGGTCTCCTTTGAAGCACAAAGGATAATATCTTGATAGTCTAATATATCTATTTTTCTTTCTTGCTTGTGTTTTTATGTCATAACTTAAAGAGCACTGACTAACCCAAGGTCACAAAGATTTACTTTATGTT